CAACAAATCCCGTTGACTTATTTGTAATTAAAATCAATGTAAAATACTGGAGAGTGGAAATGATAGATATTACCTTAATTTTAAGAAAAATGTATTAAGGTAATCCTATCYTAARGGAGAGTTTTCCTGCTGTGTCTTTACGCAGAGGACATTAGAACAGCACGAATACAACGGTGGTCGTTTAAACGCAGCAGGGAATTCATACCTTAAGGCTTTTGACGTATTATTATATGCTTTTGTAATAATATAATCAATAGGTGGTCACATCAAAATTGATMCCACATAATTTTTATTTAATACATTTTAAGATTCGTAATTTAATTTTAACAAAACATGGTGAACTTACATAGGTAGTTCATAGATAATTGTGTGAAGAACTCATACCTACAAAGATTGAGGTTTTGATACGGTTGGATTTATTACACAATCGATCCCACTCGGACATAGTTCTTTTACTTTAAAAATTAAAATATTGAATTAGAAATACTTATACCTACTGATAAATTAAAACATAATATTCTTATATGGCTTTTGCTATATTGTAAAAGTTGACAAAATTAAAAAAAAACTGTTCATGTCGATACATTAATATTTCGTTATAGTGACAAGTATATATGGTAACATTTATGGTGAAATTGTAATTTAATTTAAAAATGAGCAATGATAGAAATAACTACATTATGTCATACTGTTTACACGTTTTAAGCCTCACCACCTAATCTTCCTACTCGTCACTGGATTTGACACCGTAATATTAAACTATTATACGATAGAATGTGCGTCTTTCGACAATACAACTTGATTTTAAAATAATATATTATCTAGCTTAACGCTTTGTATAATATTATAACCTATCATCATTATAAAATAAAGATAATGATTTCCGGCTGCTGTGTGGATTTCTCGTGGAAACGAAAGGTATCAGAAACGTGTATAAACCTGAAAGCAAGGGTTCAAATGACTATGTTATTATTAAATAACGTCGGGGTGGTCGTGGAGTTAAATACCGTCCGGATTTACGTTCCACGCGTATTATAAAGGTTCATCTCCTCCCCTCACTTTGCGCATACGTATACCCAATRCTCACGMACTGCTTAGATTATTCAAAAACTTCGGCATATGTGGTGCATTTCATGCACGATCCGTTTCTGGTTGGCTGATTTTCGTTTAAACTTTACGAGTTTGGTGAAAAAAAAACAACCCGAAAGGATTCACGTATAGACACGTATACACTAACGTCGTTCAAAATAGTTTTATTATTTTTTTTCTACTCCTTCCGTGACTCCTTCCGCAGGAGCATATGAAAATCACGAAACAAACTATTAGCAATTTAACACATTTTATTCGTTAAGGGTTATTTTGCATGTATTTTACGCGTAAACTTTTTTTGTGATTTGTCGTGGGTACCGTCACACAATAATTTTGCTATTCACACCTTTTTACGGGTATTAAAAAAAAAAAACTTTTTTCCTCTACCATTACATCTTGTTCGCTATAGGTTAACACAATATGTGAGGAACAATACACCTACATACATATATCAGACAAGAAAACGTAAAATGAGGAAAGTTGCAGATGAAAACAAAGAAACTGTTATAAATCGGTGTAATAAAAAAAAGCAAATGGACCACCCGTCCAGTGACTTACTTAGTAAGTRTAGTAAACCTTTTTCATTAAAAAAAATCGTATAAAATATATTCTGATAAAATGATAAATTCTGTAGTCGTCTAGGTTATATCTGAATAAATCTTGATTAATTCGTAAAAATAAAGAATATAGGGTAAAGTGTACAGTTATTGGCACTAAAAATTTGTTTTATTTATAATTAATGTTCATTTTGAGTACCTTATGACTTTTTTTTTATTATCTGGCCAAACTGTTGATGTTTTTCGTTGACGTTATTTATAAATTACACCTGTTTCGAGCACTCCGGAGGATTTCCAAAAACAGGTACAATATTATCCATTTTTGTAGTTAACTACAATTAGCAATTAAKCTCTTATTTAGTTTGTAACTATTTTATTCAATTATAAATGACATATACTGGTTTCTAAGAACTTTTTTAATATAAAAATACAGTTTTCAACACATTTTTTTTGTTATTATTCATTATAAATGGTATGCCAATAACTGATTATCATAATTGTCAAATTTTAGTTATTGGCATGGGGTGCCAATAATTGATTTTTTCAATAATATTTGTATTTTATTTATTGACACATCTATTAAAATGTTATTTAGTTAGGTACCTATTATTAACTGTACCTATTACWTATCATAMATTTTGACTAATCAGAAACAATGGTAGGTACTAAATATTTTATAATATWATATTAATATTCCCAATATAGAATWTATACTCAATAGTTACGATTTACATTAATGTCGCTTTGTGTTTCATAAAGTGACTAATATGTTTTATAATTATTTTAGGTAATCGATTCAAAAGTATACTGATACCGGAATTATGTACATTGAATATGTTTGATTAACATTATACCAGGTGATAATGTTACGGTCATGATTTACGAAGGATTAATGTACGGAAGTATCCATCAAAAATCATTAAAATGACGTGATTAGATAATCCATCATGTTCAAGAGCAGAC